AGGGAAATTTAAATTAATATATTTATATTGGATCAGGAAAGTAAGTAAGTAGGGAGTAATTGCAATGTGAACTCAATACTCAAGCCTCCAGGCATAAACTGATCACCAGCTGGGGTCAGGAAGAAATATTACCCCATGGTATAGGATTGCATGAACACTAAGGAAAACTAAGGAGGTTTAACACCTTCTTCTGATACATCTAGAATTGAGGCAAGATGATGGCTAAGACAGATCATTGATCTCTGCCATAAAGTAGTTCCTGTATTCTTATAGCCTTAGATTAGAAATAATAGCTCATTTATTGCAATGGATTTTAATCACTCCAATGTGAATGCCTAACACTCACAGCAGGCTCAAAATTGGGAAAAGGCATGAAGTTCCCTGTTTAACTCATTTGAAAATGGGAAGATGGTATTTTAAAAGCAATCAGGAGTCAGTAGGGGCCTATCTTGCAGAGTTTCCGGAATGACAACTGAAGTCAATGGGAGCAGCAGGTGGTCATCTTATCTGGAAAGTAATCCTCTAATCCATGGTTTATATTTAATATGACTGATCCTTTGCATTAGAGAAAAGGATATTGAGAGAGATGGTAAGAGAACAAAAAATTTACAGAAGTCGCTTTCAAGCTATGAAGTAACAGAGAGCATCACATGGGTAGTGTGGCCTTACATCCATGCCAAAGGCAGCAGGAGTTGGATTTTTCAAATTCACTCAGTTTTCATGGCACCTAATTCCTTAGGTCCATTTGAGATTCCCAGCCCTAGATCTATGCTATCAGAAAAGCAATCTTATGACTATTGATCCAGTAGACTTCCTGTATACCACCCTAACTATGCATCTCTAAAGGTGCCTTCTGGTTTGTTTGTTTTTTTAAACAGAGTCTTTTTTTCTATGGTTGTATGTCTCTAATACAGCTGTAAACCCTTTGGCAAGTATTTTTAATAGCATCAGCAAAGGTTGGGAACTTAAAACAGAGGCACACAAATAAGTAGCCTTATTTTTAGAGGTCCTGACCACATCTGTAATATCTATTCTGTATGAACTGAGGAGTTTAACAATTCACAAAGCAACACTAAAACAGAATGCAAAGAGATCCTAGCCCTGCATTGATTGCTCCATCAAGTTACTATTTAAGATGTTAAAAGGATTTGAAATGTGAAGTTTGTAGCATGGCCAGAGGAGAGACTCTGACCATCCAAAAGAATACCTTTCAAAACCAATTCAGGTATTCACTGTCATTCCCCTCTAAAATAACCCTGTGATACATATTACACTGGATATCCAGCTACTACTCATTCTATGCATAAAGCCTGTTCCCACTGAAATCAATATGACAAAATGACCGTTGACTGCAGTAGGATTAAAATTTGTCCATCTTTGAACAGTCATTGAACTGAAGACTTTTCCAAGAGGTCTTAATGCTAAAACCATCTGCCAGCCGTACAGGAGCATGCGCAGATGGACAGACAGAAAGAGCATCCACACAAAGGAATGCTTTGAATTGCCAACACCGTGAAAGGACTGAAGACCCTAAAATATATATTTTACCTTATTATACCAATAGCTTGGGAGTAAAGTGATTCCTTCTGTTTTCTTTGATCCCAGCACAAACCATTCTGAAGAATGCAGAACTGGTTTCTCTCTTGCTAAGCATGATGTAACCAGACAAGGATTTCAGTATTAAGTCCAAGTGATAGTGCAACTATTTTGTTTAATATTTAACCAGTTTTAATTGGAAGTAGGTCTGGTTTCTCACCTTTTCTATAGAAAGTAACCAACTTTAATTGATGGGAGTCAGGGCTGAATGAAGCACAAAGACACGCTCCTATCCCATTACTATTCTGTGCTGTGGTGTCTCCCCATCAATTTTCCAAGTCTGAGTTAAGAAGAAAAGAAAACTCACATTTCTTTTGCTATTCTCTCAGAGGCATAGGAATTGGTTAAATGGTTCACATGCTCAAGATTGTTAAGGAGAACCAAAACTTTCATCTCATCAGGTGATTTCAGGAGCTGGTGCCCTAAACATGGGCCTATAAATCCTGCGTTTTCATCCAGACTTGAGGTCAATAATGCACGTATGCATAGAAGGAGGTACTTGACAAACCAGGGTGTAGCAAAACCTTCAGTTTTTCTTTTCTTTTATTTCATTTTTTTTTTTTTTTTTAATGCATTCCCTCCCCTTCCCCAACCATTTCTGATTTTTCTCTTCCTCTCTGTTCCCTATAGGTAAGTCTAAATGAGCTAAGACATAGGATAAGCATCAGCATTTTATTTTGCTAGCAAGTTGTATTTGTTTTTTCTCCTTTTTTATATTGTATAATTATTAGGTTTATAATGATTTTTACTGTTCTATATTACTGTTTTACTGATACTAGATGTTTTAGGCCTACGTATATAAGTTAGCATCAGTCATGTCAAGTTTCCATTTTATTTGTCAAGTCTCCATCCTGTCCCCAGGCCTGGCTGTGTAACCCATGACTCACACCTACCCCTCCTATGTAACTTGGTTCCTGAATGAGTGGGGATGAATGAGGGTGCTTGAGAGACAATGGCAGTAGGTCTAAAAATAGCTCCCTCTGAATGACTGAACCATCAACACCAATACCTGGACCAATGATCCAGTCCTTGGAACCACCCTCAGCATTCAAGAAACAAAAGATGAGGCAACCCACCATTGTGCCAGGCTGCACATACTCAGTAAGAACACCTGGAGCCCTCTGGGACAGGACTGGCATTGCCTCGACAGGCCCTCCCCATAGGAGATCAGAGGTAGTCTGACCCGTAAAAAGGGATAGTGAAGACTGACTCCTTGGGACTCCCTCTCCATCTAGACCAGCACCATGCCACACTACCTATCCACCCAGAGGCCCTGCTGGTGACCCCCTCTGGACAGCACCTACTGGACAAAGACCCCTTTCCAGCCTGGATAGGTAGCTATCACCCCCCACCCACTCTTCAACCAAGGACTTGGACTCTGCTTCTCTTCCCTACCTGGACTCCAGCCCTTCCACTGAGTCTCTTTCTCTTGCTGCCATTGTGAGACACTCTGTCTGTCTGTTTAATAAACCTGTTACTTTGAAACCCCGAGTTGGGTTTTTGTCCGTTTCCTAACCGTTTCCTTCTTGCCACCACTTATCTGCCCACCAATCTCTCAGCTGTCTGCCTCAGCTTCCAGTTCCAAGCTCCCAGCTGTCTGCCTCTCTCTCTTTCCTGGCTGTCTCCTCCTTGGGGCCACTTGACCTTAAGTAACCCCAAGCCTCAGTTCCTCAGCCCAGTTTCTCTCTAGTCTACCAGTTCTAATCCTGGTTCCAGCAACTTTCATTCCTTTCACTTCCTCTCTCACCTTAACCTTCCCTCAAGTACCCCAAATGCACACATACATACTGTACCATCCAAGTTAGGAAATCACCTGTGTGTATGTATAGGTGAGTGGTATGTGTGTGAACTGGTGAATATATGTCATCGTGTGCGTGATATACGAATTAGTGATCCGTGTATGTGGATGGAGTGTGTAGGTATTGACAAATGATTGTTGTCAAATTTTTGGTGTGCATATGTGCTTGAATTGGCGATAGGTATGCATGCGCCTAGGCTGGTTTGAATGTGTATGTGCCTGAGTTGGTAGTGTGTGTGTGTGTGTGTGTGTGTGTACACCTAATTGATGTGCGTGTTTATATATGTACAATTGTGTCACACCCTCCTGTCTAACAGTGCAATATTGAGATCCTGAGAGTTGCCCTGACCCCATAGGACAACAAGGGGAGTAAGTACTAGCCAAACCAAGGCCAGTCCTTCCGTCTTAGATGCAAGTCCAGTCAACAGGTTTGCCAGAACTTCACAGTCAAAGCTTTCTTGGACAGCAGGGGTCACATCTGCCCTTTTAACCGAGGAGTGTTAAACGGCAGTCATTGCCACAGGCCTAATCTACTCTGGTAGGGTTTTTCCTAGGATCCTGGCACACTTACTATGCATGATCCACCACTCATCTCCTATGAGTATGACAGGATTATGTACCTATATTGTGCTCCTTAGCAGGGAAAGGAAAAACTAAACATTGTGCACAATATACCCGTGAGCAACAGTTACCAGGTCATTCAAGAGCCCTCTTCTGCCTTCCCATGGGTATCCCACAGGTACAGTCACATTCCCACTTACTGTTTCACATCATGTTTTACTCTGAATCCCAAAACACGACACATAATCATGCTTTATTAAGCACCTGCTTGGCTTATTTGAAGAATCTGGCTGTGACTGCACTAAATCCTGACCTTTGACTTTTCCTGTCTGATGCCAAAATGATTATTTCTGCCGATTCTCAGTTTGACATCAGGGAGCAATTGGTTAATCCTCAGGTCCTTCAGCCGTCTTATCTTCCCTTCTTGTTTATGCTTGTCATGTCTCTGTACTTCAGGTTTATTCAGACTGATTTAATATTCCAACAGCTGAGGAGAAGGAAACCACAATTTGAATTTATACCAGCTCACCCCTCACCCCGCAAAAGGGCACAGCTATGCATTATTTTGCTTGCTGATATGTAAATGAATGGTGTGAATGTTTGCAGAAATACCTAAATGCACTTCAAACAAGCAAATGCCCACATATAAGACTGAGCCCGGTAGGTACAAAATATCCATGCCTCCTTGTATAAAGCAAAAGCCATAATCCACAAATCTAGTGCCGCTGCTATGATTAGAGAACAATGACATTTTTTAACTGAAACCTTTTTTCCATGGAAACAGATTCAGGTGACCAGACCAATTTGGGTCAAAAACTTAAACCATTTTGAAAATAATTGACAAGTTGATGTCAACATTTTTAAATGGAACATTTTGTTTTTTTCCATTCAAAATGACATTTTATTTCCAATCGCCTTCAAGTTTATTAAAAGATATATATAAAGGATACAAACATGAAATATTTCATTAGCTGAAAACAAACTCCAAAAACATCCTTTTGTCCTCATTTTTTCAATGTGCTGAAAATATTTGGAAAAAAAAATGCCTGATAAAGGAAAAACAAATTTTATACATTTTTCTATTTTTCAGAACTACTAGCAAACCAGTTATTTACAGGGTTCTGGTCATGGGACTTTGCTTAAGGCTGAAATGGCCATCTCAACCTTTTCTTTGCCACTACTATCCATGTGACAAAGCAATGATGAACTCAGTTTCTGTATAGGTTAGATTCTGGGCCAGCACAACAGCAGCGAATTAAGCAGTGAACTAAGCAAAGATATGAAATCCCAATGGAAAGTTGACACAGAATATTTCAGTGCTGCTGTTCAACTGATCCTAATTGAATGTACATCTCACACGCACATCAAAATCAGGAATTGAATGCTTACTGTGGCAATAACAATCGTGTTTGAGGTGATTTCCAGTTGTAGTGCTACATTTTAAGGCTAATGCATTGTGACAACCTCCTAATTCATTTATTTAGTCAGGTGAAGATCTTCAGAAGTGAACTTTCAATTAAAATTCATCTGCATCATTAGAGCATGTGAAGTTTTGCTAATTAGTTGTTCTGGAGGTTTCTGGGTAGCTCAAGTACCTTGTATTGCAGGCCAGATCCTTAGCCTAAGTTAAGACAAGTGCTCTAATTCAGATCAATTAAGGAGCTCCCCTATGTGGTTTGTCTTCTTAATAAGTCATGCCTTATTGGTCCTTACCTTCAAAGTTGAATTTGCTTCCAAAATTTGCTGTTCATTTATTATCTGCTGGGGGAGGGGTGGGGGGAATAGGAAGGAAATCTCTTTAGGATTAATTAGGTTAACCCACATTAATTAGGTTTTCTGGCCCAATCTAGCAACCCAAGAAGGCAAAGTTTTTATAAATTATGAGCAATGAGACTTTTTATTCTGGTGATTCATATACATACCATAGCTAACAAAGTGCCTTTTTAGCCTGCTGGCAATACACTGACAAGACTGTATTAGCCATTTACTTCCACCTTCATCAATTTGAGGGTTTCTACTACATTACGTGTATAGATGTAAAGCCTAAGTTCTGTTTTCCTTATCACTGGTTTCACTACCTTGTCTTTCTTCAATTTCATTACCTTGCACTCTTTCATTACTAACACTCATTGCTTCCCCTCCTGCGTTTGGCTGAGCTGTTGGCAAGTTTTCCCCCCACACTTTTGGATGCAAATGGTGATCTTTGTTTTTCCAATGTACAGTTCAGTATTTTGTAAATTCTGTCTATACAGCCTGACTGACTACAGGCTGGTGATAGATCTTAATAGAAAGAGAATTGAACTGTTATTTGAAAAGTAAATTTAGCTCCTAAACTGAAGTTTGAAAGCTGACACTTTTTCACTCTGTTCAGTTCAAACTATTTATGTATTAGGCAGCTGAAGCTTTGGATCATTTTCTTGTCTTCCTGCTCTGAGGTTAAGCCTTTTCACTCTTTGGTTGCCTCAATTATTGTAGCCTTCATAGGTTCGTATGCTGCCCTCCTTACAACAGTATCTCAATAGTTAATTAAGACATGGGCATAACTTCTGCCAGGAGTGGTTCATTCACATGCACATTCTCTCTCAGTGAGGAAGAAAATTATACATGCAATGAGGTTGTTTGCTTTGGTCCCCGTTCACCACAAGCACAAATTATCTGTCAACCCTCTCTGCCCCATTGACCATAATGGAGACAAAACTGGTCAAATTTTGTTTGAAAAATGTTTTTTCTTTTACAATAATGAATATTTCTAAGACCAAGGTCATGCCTTGTTTCTAAATCCTGGGCTGGTCCTCACTGTACAGTTTAGCCACATCTGAATCCATGCTTCAATCATATTTGCATCCACATGGGTACGTACAGACATTTTGGGAGGTTAGAGCGAGTTAAAAAATGGTCACCTGTTCTAATGTAATTCAAGATAAGGGGCTAGCGGAGGGGCTTCGGGGGGATCAGGGTACAAACAGGGTGTGCAGGGCAGATCACAAGGTTTGGGGGGCAAGCAGGATCCAAGGGTACAAGTGGGGTGCATGGGGAAATTGGAAGGATGGGGGGAGGGGGGCTAGCAGGGCCTGTGGAGGGGAGCGAGGAGATTGAGGGGACAAGGGGTCTGTAGAGGGGGATTGAGGGAGAAAGTGGGTCTGTGGGTCAGGGGGGAAATCAGGGTCCATGAGGTGGGTTGGTGGGAACTAGGAGGGTTTTCTGGGATGGGGGGGGCAAGCAGGGGTCCATAGGGAGGAGGGGTTGGTGGGATCAAAGAAGCTAACAGAGTCTGTGGGGGAGTTGGGGAGATCTCTCCCCCAGGTACAGGGTACATTTTTAGCCCCCTGGCTGCTTCCAACCCCAGATAAAGAACCCTCCATCCCACCTACCATTCCCACACCCCAACTTGCTTCAGTTGGCTCCAGGTACTAGAAGCAGATTGCAGGATTGGAGGGTTTGGCAGGCTTGGTAGCGGTGGTGTGTAGTGGGGGGTTGTCCACCTGAGATCAGAGAGGCCTGATCCTTTCTTCTAGGGAATGTCCCTGCTTGTACTGCCCAGCACAAGCCTCCCAGGCTACTGGGTGCAACCTGCTAGCTGCTGATGGTGCCAAGCTCCAGCAGGATGTACCTAGCAGCCTGGGAGGCTTGTACTGGGCAGTGTAGACAAGGACACTTCCAAAAGAGGAAGTATTGGGTCCCCTTGGAGCTTGGTATCAGTGGCAGCCCAGGGGCCTGATTTTTGCTTCTAGGTAGCATCTGGGTTACCTTTGATTTGCTGCCAAGAACTTGCCCACAATCCCCTGCCATCACTGCAGACCCTCCCCCATGCTCAGCCCTAGGCCTCCAGGACAGCCCATGAGAGGCTCACCATGAAACTCCCAGCAGCCCAGCTGGTGGCAGCAGGGGGGTTCCCATAGTGACCTACTCTGGGGCTCTCTTGGAAGCCAAGGTTGGGCGTGGGGAGAGGTACAATGTGATAGCTGGGGGCATATGCCTAGCAGCCAGTCAGGGCTGGCCCCTTCTCGGCTGCCCTCGATAGTCTCCAGCATGCTGGGAGGCATGCAGGAGCACCCCCAACCTGCTGGCCCCAGCCAGTACAGGCTTCTGTGTGCCCCCTAACCACACACACACACACACACACACACACACACACACACACACACACACACACACCCCTTTCAGCTTGAGTTTTATATATGTATAAATAAAAGTATATAAAAACATAAGCTGAAATTCTTACATTCCAGGAATAGAAAGTTGAAAGGAACATCGAATTTTGAAAAGTCTGTGACTTAAAGACAGGACTGGCAAACCTGGTGAAGCAGGTTTACCAGGCGTATATTTAGCTCATTTTGTTTAGCATAAAACATGTAAGCCCATGTGCAAGAAAGCGTTATTTGAACTAACATTCTTTGTTTTAAAATCTGGGGGAGTTTAGGAGTATTTGTATAAAAAATTTCATATGTTTCCTTTCATTATCACTGATATAACCTCTCTCAGTACCACTGTTTATGCTTTTAATGGATGCCGGGAATAACACACTCAGGTTCTATAAATAATCACTGTTGCAATTACTCTTTCAGCATTAAACAAAGTTGCTGGCTGTATTGGAAATGCAATATGACTGGTTATACTATTATCATAGAACCATTAATAGGCAAAAAAAACCCTCTCCCTGGCAGCATGGGACTGCAGACCTGCTCTAGTTTTTTAAATTTGTTTTATTTTTGCTTTTTGGAAAAAGTAAATTGTTTTGATAAATCATGTAAGCACCAGCAAATGTCTACAGGAAATCAGAAATGGTCTCAGGGGGTTGTCTAAATAGTTACTCAGCTTAAAATAAGTTCAAGGTGCAAAAAAGAATAAAAAAAAATTAAAAATGGAATTTACATTAATGACCTGGAGCAAAAAGGAAAGAGACTCTGAATTTACATTGCTTGAGTGAGTTTAATTAAACTAAGCTGGATTTTTATTTGCTCGTAGAAATCTCTCTCAAAAAGTGCACAGTCACATCAAATAGGACGGTTCATCTTTAAGAAAGGTATTGTCCGCTGTTTTAAAAGCAACCTAACTCTCCCCCCAGAAAAAAACATGACAATTCTTCTATGAAAGGCTCCACGAACAAATTGCTCTGCGTACCATTCTTCTGTGGTTCATTTGCATCTCACTCAGGTCAAGACAAATAAATCCACCCTCTCTCATACTTTATTTTATTCTTATCTTTATTTTCTTTTTTTTCAGTTCAATTTAGATATTTTGGGGGGGGGGGGGGGGGTTTTTTTTTTTTTTTTTTTTTTTATTTAATTTTGGTTTTGGGGGGGGGGGGGGGGAGGGACTTGTTTTTTGTTGTTTTTTTTAAATAGCAATTCCTCTCCCCCTTCCCCCTATCCCTGCTTCCTCCCCACCCCTCCCAAATGTCAATTGTCTATAGGTTTAAATCCAGAGAGGATTCTGGTCCATAGGAATTGTGATCCTAGAGCAAAACAATGGTCCATCTAAGACTAATATTTTGTCTCTGAAAGTAATCAGAGTCAGATTCTTCAGAGAAAGGAATAAACAGAAACTCTGAGAATGTACACTGATATATTATCAAGGAAAATATATTCTTGTCTCCAGCTGTTCATTAGCATTTTCCCCCCCTGAGGTATGGTAGGAGGCAACAAAATTGCTATATATTGGATAAAGACAGGTTTAGTTACTTAATTATTGACTAGGATTGATGGGTATCAAGAGTGCTTGGACAGTTCAGGTCTGTTCTTTTTCCAGTTCTAATATCTGCTGATAGTTATAGTCATCCCAGGTCTCTAGCTACACAGCCTAAGAAAATCACATTGCTGACAGTCACATCTTTTACCAAGTTAAGACAGAAACTCTATTCCACCAGTCCACTCTTCAGGGTTGTATGGATGTGTCTTAACGTACCATATGTTCAGCCTGAGATCTTGATCTAACACAGTGACAGTTGGATATGATCTTTATTAGTTTTACCTTTACTGAGGTTAAATGCACAAATGAAACCAGTATGTGTGGATTTAAGTGGATTTCTAAAGATGATATGAACAGGGTGGCAAAAGGCACCAAAAGAGGAATTAAAAAAATAAAAATAAAAATCAAGTATCTTGCATTTGGTGACCCAAGGTTGATCCAATTCAGCACAGAAGCACTCAAGACCTTAAAGGTCTAAGTTGTGTTTTTGTAAGAAGGCTCTATAGAAAATATGCACACAAATTACTGTAATAAAGGACAGTTGGCAAAAAGGACCAACAGTAATACAGAATAAAGCAGGAATATATTTCAGTCCATTTGAGTCATTTGCTAGCAAAGAACATCTGGTCCTACAGAGTATCTGAATTATGCTTATCACTGTTTTCTCCTAACTGGGAAAAAGAAAAGGAGGCAAAGGAGGAAAGAAAATCTTTCAACCAATTCATCCTGATCAAACAAACAATTTATTTATGCCAATGCTTGGAAAATCCTCTCAGTAGCATTCAGAATACTAAGAAACACCAAGTCTTAAGCTATTGCCATAAATTATGAGCTAAGTCAAAGAAATAACTTCCATCAGTTTCCATAAGTTCCAATGTCTAAAACAGATAAAAATCTGAATGAAAACCTACTTTGGTCAGTCTGCACCACTGGTTTTAAAAGGAAGCACATGGAGAAAACATTTCAGAACAAACTTCACTTTTTGATTTGCAAAGCAAAGCTTTGTACCAGCTCACTTCACACAGCACAACAGTTACTACTTGTTTCCATTACTTGACAGTTTGGAAGCAGAAACACCCAGATACACTGGAATTGCATCATCTGCTTCAGAAGGTTTTGCAAAATTAAGTGCGTTTGATTTAGTACAGGAGGTAGCAATATTTTGTAATAAATTAAGCAGTACATCTCATGATAAGAGTTATCAGGATTGGGGCCCCATTGATCTAAGTGCTGAATGAACACAAAGTGACAGTATTTTACATTACCTAGATGCTGCTCAAAGCTTTTGACCCAAACTTAAGTGATCCTGTTATAGCTCCTAAAGTGCAATCATGCAATTGGGGCTTGTAGTTCAGCTGAAATGGACCTAAATTCTCCCCACATGTGGGTGTAAATCAAATGTTATTTCACTGCAGTTAATATAATCAGGTCTTTTGAACAATGAGTTAGTGACAAGAGTGTCGAGTTGATGTTATATGACCTAATGCTTCACCCCAAGCCATATTCCAGAGTGCCTGGTTGTGAACAGTCCCACTAATTTCAACAGGTTTACTGGTTTAACCAAGTCCTACTCAACACAACTAGAGCTAGTGAAACCAAGTTCTAGAAGTGCACTTGTTTATGAGTTGCAGGCACTTCTGCTTCATTCTGAAGTTCAGTCTCTAACCAGTTCCAGCTGTGGTTAACAAGTCTCTTGAACTTGATGCCCAACCATTAAAATGGCTTCAACCATTAAAGATGTGGTCTCCACAGGTCTCAACGTTCAACTCAAAACTTATCAAAGCAGTCTTTATTAATGCAACACACAATCATACCAAGGCACGCAAGACAAAAGAATAATTGCCACCTCAACAACAAAATGGAGCTCGATACAAAACGGTCATTTAGCAAATCGAGCTAAAAGCCATATGCCATCAATTTGAGGTTGTACTGGAAATATCAGCAGTCAGAATGAAATTACTGGAGTTGGAATTTTGTCTTTAAGTACCATATTGTTTAATTACTCTAAATTAAACTCAGATTGGCCCAATGTGGATTCAGTAAGTTAAGCAAACAGTCAGCAATGATCTGGGACTGCACCTCACCAAAACGTGCGTCAACCCCTTTATGACAAGCAAATGAGAATAATGCACATTTCCATTCCTATTTGACTATCCACCAGCAGTTGGCTCCCATACTCTAGTTGAAAACAACTCTACAAATGACATATAGCCACAGAATATCTTTTACTAGTAGCTTTCCTTGACAACTTTTTTTCTTTTTGCAACAAGAGTATATAAGCTGTAAAACAATGTTTTAGAAAACACTTTGAAAGAAGGGAAAACAGCTTTTTCTTTTAAGGATTAAAACTTCCTCAACAACGTCTGTAAAGAATGAACCAGAAAGCATCTATTAGGATAAGCTGAAAGGAAAATATACAACATGTGCATATTTTATTTTACTCTTCTAATAGGCACTGAGTATGGTCACAGATGTATCTTTCTCAATACTACAAACCAAAGAGACGCTAACATTTCCACATAGCACTTTATCAGGGAAAGGCAGTCCTGATGTTATTCTCTCCCCAACATAAGGCTTATTATCCATTCTTCCATGTCTGACTTAGGGATGGAAAGACCTCAGTGGTATTAGTATTGTACAATCATTACAATATTGGTAACTGGCTCTTGCTAATGTAAAGAAGCTTCAGAAACGAAGCCATTCATTTAATTGTTATTGTTCCTAGAAAACTTAAACATGGCTGCATATTCCTGTGTGCCATCGCTCTTGGATATCCCCATTATAACAATCCTCAAAGACTATGTGGAACATATTTTTGGAAATGCTTTTGCATTGCAAAAAGTATTTGCTTCCCATAACCTATTATCTGTAATATAATCTACATTATTACTATAACCTACCCTATTATCTATGCACCCCAATCAGGCTCATTGTGCTTGGCATTATACAGATACTAAATAGGACAGCCCCTGCCACCAAAGGACTTGTTCAAGGGATTGTTTAAATGGGGTCCAATTACAAGTTTAATAAAAAGCAAAACACACAATTTTATTAGATAGAAACGTATGTATCTGAACAAGGAGGAATCTTTTTTTAAGGTGTTTTTCCCCCTGCTTCTATGACTGCTACAATACAATAATAAGATATACAACAATTTTGAACACACATTTTGGTAAAAAGAAAAAGAACCAAGCACTGCTCCAACTCTGAAAGCTGACTGATTGCACATTTTTTAAAACTATTTCCCTGTTCTTTGTCTGAAATCTCAATCGTTTCTTATCATTAGGCTTTTCTAACTTTCTGCTCTTTTTTCAAAGTATCTTATCCCTCAAGATTAATGCTTAATCCTGAAGTGGAAAATAAAAGGTCTCTCTGTTGTTAAACAAATACATAACAGCGTGCAATGAGTATAAAGGGACAGTTTGAAAACAAGCTCCAGAGATCTAGTACCCATTTCAATAGGTCCATGTGCAAAGACATGAGAAAGGCACTGCAGGTAAGGCAAAGGTGTTTTAATAGGAACAGAATAGAAGTTGCATCAGTACATAAGGATACGTTTGCAAGAGTTTGTGCCCGCCCCAAAAGGGGCAAATTATGTTTCAGTCATATTGGGGAATGTATGTCGTCAATTAAACTGTGTAATAAAGGTATCCTAAAAACAGAGGCCTGGGTTGTAATAAGTGAAATAATGTGGTGTTCCTAAATCCATAACCATCCTCTAAACCCCAGTGCTTGCAGCATGAGCCAAGACACGCTACATGTGAGAACATACCATCCCTTCAGGAATAAGAATGGGAAAACAACAGAAAATAAAAATACTTACCAGTTAGAAGAAAAGGAGTCAAAGCAAGAAGCAACTGCAAAATGGCTGGTTTAAGACCACAGCTGCTGTTTCCCTTCTAATTTAAAGGGTAAGTTTGCAGAAAGGCATGCTGGGGAGAAAGTCCTAGAAGTTGTTCTTGCAGTGGGACTGGGTAGTCACAGAAAAGTTGTGATGTTTGTTTTCTGCACTGCACTTAAATTGCACTATGCTATAAAATAAGGGGCAATAT